CTTCACAGACTGGTGTGGGGAAATTGCCCCTGAGTCTTCTGACCCACTGACCCTGTGTCAGCGTCTGCAGAAGGAGGAGCATTTTACATCTATCAGAGAGGTACACTCTCTCTCTCTCCTGGCTTTTCATCACTGTTTCTGATGTTGATCCATTACTTATTGTTGTTTGTATTGTTGTGATGTGTTGTTTGTTTATTTGTTTTCCCTTTTTGTTCCTCAACTTTAATGGGTAATACTAAAACATTATCTGTGTACAGTACCACGCAAAAGTAATGATTACTTTATATTTTTTCCTTCCAAGCCAGCCAACCCATTGTAAATTTGTTCTGTCTTTAGGCACTTTGTTACTAGCAGCCTGTGACAGAAGCACATCATTTTTCACATTTCTTTAGTCAAAGATAACACGTTTATATGTGTGTGTGTGTGTGTGTTGGATATAAATTAAACTGTCTGCCTTAATCTTAAGCCAGACACTACAGCTTATATACAGCTCACCTGCCCTAACTATAAGCTAAAAAAGAGCTTATAGTTAGGGCAGGTGACCCTGAACCACTCCTGAATTATGATCCTATAGGCTCAGATTGCTACAGGACTTGCACAGCACTTCACGTTCTTCTTTTCTCACTTCTTTTTATTTCCCACCTATTTATATATCACTGCAAGATGTCGTTAAACTTTGCCTGTTTTTCCTTCTCACAGTTACAAAGTGCTTGCTTTTAGGGAGTTATTTGATTCTAGGGCTTTTCTCTCAAATACTCTGGGCTCTTTAAGCATCTCGAGGAAAACTGTTTTTGTGATCCGGTGCTTTTACCTTCATTTAAAGGAATTGGACAAGTGAAGGACGACAGAAGTAATGACAGGCCTAAGGAGGGAAAAAAAAGCTTCAACAGAAAAACAGTATGGGAAAGTCATGTCCCCAAGAAATAGGGGGGGATACAGCAAAGACCTGACACAAGACCTGAGAGATGCATCTGGCCCTTCAGTTGATCCATCTACTGTTCACTGAAGGGCCAGTGCAGGGTCTCAGTGAAGGGTGGCTGTCAAGAAGCCATTCATAAGAAGGGAAACAGGGAGAAAAGGCTGATATATGTCAAATTACACAAGAATTGGACTTAAAATCAGTCACAACAGGCCTTAGGAAGGAATCTCAATTTGAAAGTTTTGGTTCAAATCATCAACATGAACAACAGTGAGTCTCTACAGCCATCTGTAAAACCTGGTAGAGCTTCCATCATGTTAGACTTCAACATTACTGAAGCAGTGTGGGATCATCTTGACAGAGAACGGAACAAAAAGCAGCCAACGTCCAAAGAAGAGCTTTGAATGTCCTTCAAAAAAGCCTGGCCACGTGTACCTGGAGACTGCTTAAATAAATTAGAATAAAGCCTAAGAGAGACTGTACTGAAGAATAAAGGTGTTCTTAGAAAATATTGACTTTCATCCTTATTAGAATTGAACAAACAGTTTTTGCCTTGTAGTGTGTATTTACATTTATGTTTGCACATTTCAACAAATTACTGCAAATCCTTCTTAATTCCCTTACAAATATAAAGAAATGGGGGCTGGGAGGAGAGCTTTGCTTTGATGTCAACATGTCTATCAGTCTTAACAATATTTATCTTTTGTCTTAACCCAAATCCAAAAGTATGGTATGAAGGGAATTCCATCCAGCAACTGTTTCTTTCTCTAAAAGTGGACTGCCTTGCAGATAGACTCAGTGTGATCCCTACAGCTACAAAGATTAAAGAAAATGTATATTTGCTCTCAGGCTCCTGGACTGGTAATGTCACCTGACCGCCTGCCTTCCATTGGTTCATCTGGGACTAAATCAACAGGTAATCAATGAGATTCAAGGACTATATTACTGAAGAGTTAGACAAAGTGATCTAAATCACAGCTATTATAATTAATGAGTGTTTTATTTTGTGCAATGTGGTTATTTCTGTGGCAGAGTTGCCCTTTTGACAGTGCAAGCTCTCCATGAACAAAATGATACAAGTTATGAAATCATACAAGCAGAAGTTTTCATGTAACATAAATCCAACTCACATTGTGTCACCTCTTTATAGACATGTCTTTAGCTCACCACATGACAATATTCTGACACTGTTCAACAAATGCACATAGTTGAACACTGTCCTTTTCAATGTGCTATAGAAAAAAAGATTGATTGATTGAATGATTGATTGAATGAGGATTTTGCTACTGGGACTCTTTAACCTGCACTGTGAAAATGTTCACTTGCTCACCTTTTTTTATTTAGCACTTTCCATTTTTATGTCATGATGTTCGAAGTATTGGACAATGAGGATTTCAGCATTTAAGAAATACGTTTTCAAGATTAGACTTTCCATACTTTTCTCCAACAAATCAAGGCGACGTCAGCAATAAGCATGGGGATAGACTTCATCAAAAAATGAAAGTTATGGAAAAATTATATTAGGGAAATCAAATCAGTTCTTGTTAGTGCATCAGTTCCAATTAGAGTTTATTGACAAAGCAAAAGTTTCTCTTACCATCTCCACTGCTTTTGTTTACAGCCAAGCCAACCCCCTCCTCTCCAGGTCTCTGGCACCGCCACCAGTCCAGTCGCAGAAAACGTAACAGACAGCAGAAGGCTTCTTTCTCCTCTGACACTCACCCTCATCCAGGACCCTCCTCCATCCTCCTCTCAGACGCCACCATGACTCCTTGGGGAGGGCTGGCTCTATCTGAGTCCTGCTTTGACTCAATTCCCAAAATACTTACTCCACGACCCTCTCCACCTCCACCCCCAGCCTCTCCTGTTCCCGAGCAAATACCGTCAGCTACCCCATATCATGGCAGGAGACAAGAAGAAGACAAAGACAGTTCAGGCTCAAGTTTTAACTCTCAAATTCCATCTCCACCTGTGGCAGTCACGCAAAACAGCGCAGGTACGACTACAAAAAGGGACAGCCATTACCAAACAAAACCAGATGACAATATTACTTAAAGTCTAATGAGTCCAGCTACACACATAAGGTCCCTGCAGGAACACTTGGTAGTGATTGATACCAAATAGCTGATAGTTAATTTAATGGAGCCTGTAAAATTTAAAAAGAATTCAAATAAGATCACTCACACACTTTAGTATACTGTAATTATGCTTTACGATACAAAGAAAAAGTTGGCAGCAGACAGATTATTTAAAAAAAATGTTTTTCATGATTAATTATTAAAGGCTAAATGGATCTTTGTGTGGTAACTACACACCCAGTGTTATCACATGTAACGCATTAATTATTATTAATTATTATGTTTCCTTGTTATTAACTATGATAACTTTAGTGCTACATTGTGTGTCTTATAAAAAGACTTTGACGTGTTACATTATACAAAGCACATAAATAGAGTGAATGCAGCTAAACATCATATTAGCCTAGCTTTGAGTGACATTGTAAGAAGAGGAACAGAGGCATCAGTTATCAGTTAATCTGACTCATTTAACACGTATCTCCTGTTGATATTATTGTGACATAAAATATGTAATATTCTATATTTAATATTGTCCTTTAACTGTCTGTGTTTTAATCACTACTGTCCCTGCCCTAACCAGAACATCTTTTTGCACAGGTGGAGCAGCTAAAGATTTGCAGTTGAGGCGGAGGGTGTTGCCTCAGTGTCGGCTTCCCCGTGCCCCCCGTCTCCCGCCGCTTCACCCCGTCACTGACCTCAGTTTCTCTCGGAGCTTCACTTTCTCCTTCTTCGAGCTGCCGCTGCACCAGTCTCCTCGCTGGCGTGCCGAGCGTGTCAAAAACCTCTTATTGCTTTTGAAACAGATACACTACTGAAGACGCAGAGCTGCGTGCTCCTACTGATAGTTCAAATCTGCCTTTCTTGAGTATATTATTGTATTAGTAAAATGTGATATTTTATTTTCAAAGTAAGAGTGATGGGTGAGGGATTTTTTTGGGGGGCACAATAGGATAAGACAATAAGACTGCATGTTATTCTATTCAATCTGTGTTCATTGCTTTTTCGAGAGCTGGATTTTATTTGTTTGATGTTTTGAAATTTATTTTAAAAAAATAAGGGTCTAACGGTGTCTAAGGGTGTGAGTTCATTCCTCTGGTTTTCAGCTCCACAGCGATTTACTAACTTTCCTGTTTTAGATATATATATGTGTGTATATTTATGAAATAAAAACAACTTTACTATCACTCTAGTTGCTCTGTTTTATCAGCTTTCTCTGTTTTAATGGCTTCTGTTTCATACATATAGACCTCCTGTAGATTCTCATTTACCCTCTATCACCTTATCCCTGCCTACCTTTCTCACCCTGTTCTCTCTCTCTCCCTCTCTCGCTCTCTCTCACACACACACAAACACACTTGCACACACACGTGAGTCTGTGGAAGCTGAGCTGGAATAATAGAGGCATTCAGAGGTACTGAATGAGCTGGTGAATGGGAGGAGAAAGGGGCTGTAAACTAACTGTAATGTCCAGAGTTCAAGGCTCTTTTCCCCTTTCCGTGACTCACGTGTGAAAGCGTGTGAAAGCGTGTGTGTGTGTGCTTTACCCTAATACATGCAGACTCTCACTGTCACCCAAGTGATCTGTTTGTAATAATGCGGCTTCTTGCTGATAGAGATTAAGTAAGTCTTTTTTCATTCACTGCTTTAATTTGTTTAAGTTTTCCTGAAGAAGTGCTTCTTTTCGCTTTTGTCATGTGACTTTATTCACAGATTTGGCACACATGACAACAGGTCAGCGAGGCACATTAAACAAACACACAGTGTTCAAACACAGGCAGAATGAAACTTCACTGTGCTCTCAGTAATCTTCCACAGTTATTTCAGATGGACAACGTTGAGCAAAATGACCGGCCACGCTCCAGGCAGCTTGTTCTCGCACACGCCCTGGACGAAGCACAGCTAGATCTCCTCGGTCAAAGGCTAGAAAAGAAGTGTCTGTCACTTTCGGAGAGGGTAAAGTCACAATGTCGGTGAGTCAAAGGATAATATTTTTTTGGCCTTACTGCGTTTGACCCAGCCGTGTCTATCTGAGGCTCTATAGCTGATAGCTTGTGCGTGTTTTCCTCCAGGTGTTCTGGTTCCAGGATAAAAAGCCTCGTGCTGGAGGTTATTCCCATCCTGTCATGGCTCCCTCATTACTCCGTCAGACACAACGCCGTCGGAGATCTGGTGTCTGGCATCAGCGTTGGGATCATGCATCTACCCCAGGGTTAGGCTACAGCAACAGATAAGAGTATCATAAAAGTCATAAAAGAGTCTAAACTACAGTCTGCCACAATACCTTCATTCACAAATCTATAAAGGCTTCCTTTTTTTTTTTTTAACTTTATCTCATTAAGATTTACAATATGACTTTAATTGATAAAGACTAAAGAACTATAATAATCTTTAACCAACAAGAAATTATTAAATCCATCAAACTTTCACGTAGATCTTTGTGGCAACTTTGTGGCCCTAACCTTCATTTAAGCACTTAAGTGAGCTGTTTCTTTCTTGTAAAATTTAATATGCTGAATCCAAATATAACATCTAAAATAGCTAATTCACAATCACATTTAAGTTTCTGCATTTTACAGCCTGTAAGGTTAAGGTGTAGTGTGTAGGTGGGAGGTTGTGATGCAGAGAAACATTGCTTTCATTGGAGAAATATGTAAGCCTGGCCACACGTTTTAATTATTTAAAAATGGAAACTGCAACTGCCAGTTCTAGAGGTCACAGCACATTGTGAAAGAAAGTAATTAAAAAACATATAACGTTGCGTTGCAGCATTACAGACAAAGTGTCAAA